GCCCCCTCGGGAGCTGCCCCTACCGCCACTCCTGGCTGCCAGGCTGAGAACTAGGGTTACAGCCCAGCATGACCCAGCTGGGGACAGGATGGGGAGGAGAGATAACATCCAAGGAGCAAGGAGTGGCAGGAATTAGCTGGCACGTCCTGGCAGAAGCCAGGCGAGCACTCCTGGGTGGGATTTTGAGGGTTCCTGATCAAGGGACCAGAACAAAGATGGGATAAGCAACAATGCATTGATGTGGGGGCACTTTCTCAGGACACGGGATTGAACACTTTGGCAAGGACCCCAGAGAACAGAGCAGATTCACTGCTAGGGGGCATGGCATTTCCCTGGTCACAAGTGCAGAGTTGGGGCTGACATGCTAACACCACATTGGGTCCTTGGTCTGTGGGACAAGAGCCATGTGGAAACCTCTGGAACTGCCCCACCAGCCAAGGGAGTCAAGCAAAAGTGATATCATACTCAAGGTTGGGAAGAGGTTAGTGTCATCATTAGAGCCTAAGAGATGCAGGGTGGTGGTCCCCAACTTATCTCCATTTAATTTATCAGTCTGGCCCCACAGAAGCCAGATGGATCCTAGAGAATGACTGTTGACCACCAGAGGCTCAATTCAATGGCAGCTGCGATTGCAGCTACTAGAACAGCCTTCTAAATGCCAGCTGAAGGGCCAGCTCGGTGGCAATACTCTGAAGGGCTTCTATATGGTGCTGTGTCACCAGCAGGAAGAACACATGGGTCCAGGAACCAAGGGATGAAAAGAGGAGTGGCCTCACTCACCATCACTCCCAATGACCCAATGTGGGAGTTTTGTGCTTCTTATCCCCGAAACTCTGGGCTCTGCAGGGTGGACTTGTGTTCTGGGGCCAGCAGGCAAGAAGGGGTCACGTCTTGGCAGGGGTAATTGGCTATGATCAGCAGGAGGAGGTCAGGCTGCTGTCACACAATGCGGGAGGGAGGGATGGCACAGGTGACTACGTGGGCCTCTTCTGCTTTAACTGTGAATGGACACATGCAACAGCTCTGGCCTGGGAAGGGTATGATTACCAAGGGCTCAGACCCCCCAGGAATGAGGGTTTGGGTCACAGCACGAAGTAAGCCACCAAGACCTCCTGATGTGATAGCTGAGCTAGAGGAATTGAGAAGGGGTATGGAAAGAAGATGAGTACCAGTTGTCACCCTAAGATCTACTGGAGCCCCAGGGGCTCCACCCCTCAGGAAGAGGCTCGCCACATCATGGAGGAGAAGATCCCTATGGTGCCAGGGTGACCGTGGCAGCTGTGGACAGCACAGCTTAGATCTCCCTCTGCGGGCAGCATGGTTGACTGCAGCCCGAGCTGCTGCCCATCTGGATCCCCCACAGCATTTGCGCTAAGACCATGCTTCCCTCAGGCTGCACCCACCAATGACTGAACATGATGGGGTCTAGCACAGGCCCATTCCTGTGGGGCACAGGACTCCTCTAGCAGCTGCTGTGGCCCGAGGACTCTCTGTGGCCTGCCCAACCTTTGCAGAGAATGCGCTACAGTCCGACACTCTTGCAACTCAGCCTTCGTCCTTCATCCTCTCCTCTCGCAGGTGCCAGACCTGCATCATGGGCTGCAGGCTCTCCTGCCTGCTCCTTCACCCTCCTTCATCCTTCACAGGTATTTCACCCGTGACTCTGTACATCTAGTCTCATCTTGGCATCTCCTCCTTGAGACTCCTGAACTGACACAATGGCTTCAGAACCCCATCCCTCCAAATGTCATTGAGTGCCATCTTTTGCCTCTAGCCTGGGCTATCTGTCCTCACAAGACTGAGGAGGTGGGAGCCCCTCTCCTTAAAGGTAAAGCAATGCTTCCTTCTCCCACCTCTTCTAGAAACCTACTTGGATCTTCTGAAAGTCCTCCCGGAGATCTAGCCTAAAGCCACTCAGTTCTTCAAATGGTACCTGCCACCTGAGTGGACTCCTAGCCCAGAATCCTCGACAGAAATTGAGGGTTGTGCCACAGTCTTCGTTAGTGCCCTTGGGTATGTGTGCAGCATGGGGCCTGGGTCCCCCCACTGGGTCCCCCCAGGCTGCGCCCACCCAGCTCAGATGGCCTCTAGTTGCTGGTCCCCCAGGCCCCCTGCAGCTTCCCACTCCCCTCCTGAGCCCTGCCTCAGTGAATGGTGCATGCTCTCTGCCTGGCTCCCTCTCACTACTTGTTGGGAAGGAGAATTGATGACAACATCAATAATGTGACTTGTATACAAGCTGCACCACCAACAAACCCGAGCGCTGGGGATAAATCCTCTCCCCGACCAGTGACTGCTCTGTAAGCCAAAAGGAATTACACTTCTCTTGGCAACAATGCCAGCGCCTCCCAGGACGCCAGAGTTGACCTCCAAACACCACTTCACAGGCCATTCTCACGTGCACCCCGATGCCCTAATCACATGGCCCCTGGGTTCAGGACACAGAGTGTCTCCATCACCTAGCGCCTCCTGCCCAGGGCTAGTGGGTAGAGGTGGTCTTGCTCGCTCTTTTTCCCAAGTGGTCTTGTGTCTCTTGAATGCATAAGCTCAGTCGGGGTTTCTGTCAGTCCAAGGTGAGCAGAGATCAGGGAGGGAGGGCTGTTAGGGGGGACAGGGCAGAGCCGTGTGCTGGGGTCTGGGCTCGTTTGAGAGAAGCAGGGAGGAGTGTGCATTGTGGGGGGCCGAGGTGGTGGGGCTGTCCTTGAGCTGGAGCCGCCAGGCTTGGCCTGGCCCCTCCCATGCCCCCAGGGAGGGCTGTGCACGCCAGGCTGAGGGGGCAGCAGTCAGAGAGCAGACCGAGAAGTCGTTAGCCGGGATTAGGGCCAGCCGCAGCTGTCCCATTACATCACAGCGATTTTTATGCCTAGCCTGGGCCCGCTCTTTAGAGGATCCCACTGGAGTCTTCCATGACTTTCCAAATCACTAACTTCCATCATCTTACTTCTCCCTTCGTGCCTCAGGCCCCCTCCCTGCCCCATTCCTGCTTATTTGCCGCACCCCCCTTCTCCTTCCACCCGGGGCTCTGACAAGGCTATTGACTCTTGACTCAGGGCTGAGCTGAGGGAGAGGCTGATTTGGAGGATCCTGAATGAAGCATGGTTTTCTCCCTTCTGGAACACTGGGGTCTCTGCACTCCCTCCTACCTCACCTGCTTTCAGGCCTGGGGACCGTGTTCTTTCTCACTGTCCTGAGGCAGGTGGATGAGATGAGCTCTCCAGAGATGCTACCTTGCATGGTGCTTGTTGTGTGGTCCAAAGTGACACCAGGCCCCCAACTCAGGACACCAGACTCAAGCTCTCAGGGCTGCTGGCCTGCTTTCCTAGCCCCTGGAGCTGAGGGACAGCCAGGCAGCTGAGCTGGGCATTCTGCTGCACACGGAAGCCTGAGGCCGCAGAGGGGTCTGCATCGGCTAGTGTCCACTCTGAGGCTCTGCAAGCCTCTTTGGGCTCCTCTGTCTTCAGGTAAACTCCCCACAGGTCTGGTCATCATAGTGCTGCTGTGTGGTTAGGGCCTGGACGTGGGAGCCAGAGGACTAGGGGTTTCGAAGTATGCTTTCCCAATTACTCACTGCGTGACCTTGGTCACACCTCTTAACTCCACTGAGCCTCAGTTTCCTCATCTATAAAATAGCGGCAATGGGCCGGCCCCCTGGCTTAGCGATTAAGTGCGTGTGCTCCGATACTGGCGGCCCGGGTTCGGATTCCGGGCGCGTACCGACGCACCGCTTCTCTGGCCATGCTGGGGCCGTGTCCCACATATGGCAACTAGAAGGATGTGCAACTATGACATAGAACTATCTACTGGGGCTTTGGGGAAAAAGGGGGAGGAGGATTGGCAATAGATGTTAGCTCAGAGCCAGTCTTCCTCAGCAAAAAGAGGAGGGTTAGCATGGATGTTAGCTCAGGGCTGATCTTCCTCACAAAAATAAATAAATAAATAAATAAATAAATAAATAAATAAATAAATAAATAAATAAATAAATAAATAAATAAATAAATAAACAAATAAATAAAATGGGAGCAATAACAGGACTTATCACAGATTGGTGTGAGGGTTAAACAGAATAGCATTTGAAGAGTGCTCAGCAAAGGGCCTGGCACACAGCAGGCGCTCAGCATAGCCATTATGATCCCTTCGGCAAGAGCTGGCAGGGCCACGTGATGCCTGGGATGCGGGGGTATGTGCACTGCACATGGGAAGGGTTGTCCAGCTGCTATCTGAGGAATAGACTGTGTCCACAGTGAGTCCAACTCACTTCCAAGTCTCTAGGTTGATTGAGGAATAATAAACAGCTGGTGGTCTTGCCCCCTGCATAGAATCAGAGGGTGGGGGCTAGGGGGTCCTCTGGGCTTGGCACCCCAGGATAGGAATGCTGCCTCCCCAGGGGCAGGATTTGGCATCTCAAGATGGGCTCGCTTTGGCACTTCCCACCAGGAAGGAGAATGGCTGTGCTGTGGAGACAAAGGCCTGGCTCTCTCACCAGCGCCAGGAGAGAACGTGTTATCTTTGGGCCCAGGCCGTCTGGCCTGGGTCTCTGGGCTGGCACCATATGGGTCCCGCCCAGTCCACGGGTCCCCTGAAAGGCTCGGGCTCTGGGCGGAGGTGGCAGCTGTTCAAGTGGACGCCGACCCTCTGAGTGGCTGGGAGTGGGGCCAGGAAGGGGCTGTGGCTGGCTTTCTTGTGGCATTGGCAGGCCTGGGGCCCGGGTGCAGGGTGCAGTGCTGAGGGGAGGGGCTTGGGGGAAGGACAGCTGGGCATCAGTTTGGGGCTCCTCCTCACTGGAAACCCCACCTTCCTGCCCTGGTCCCTCAGCGCCTAGCACCCACTTTGCCCAGGGTACCTGCAGCGGTGCAACTCTGAGGGCCCTCCTCCACCCTGGGTGGGCACCCTGTGCCCTTCCTGCCCCGTCTCCTTAGCCTCCTCTGTCCTCTCTCCCTCTAAGGCAGCTGGGCTCGTGGCCTGGCTGGGTGGAGCTGGGTTGGGGGCACCGTCCCCGAGGTTCAGGGGTTCCTTACTGAGGGGCAGTAGGACGGGGAGGCCCCCAGATCATAGTAGGGGGTCTGCAGGGGCAGCTTCTGCAGTTCCTCCTCTTCCTGCTGTGGCTGCCGCGTCCCTGGCTCCAGGTGGAGAATCTGGAAGAGAAGGGGGTGCGCAGCTGCACAGATGCTTCCATGCCTCCTGCTCCAGGTGGCCCTCCTGGACTGCCAGTTTGATTGGGGTTCCCCTCCTTGGTTCCCACGCACCCCTTCCTGGCATTCACCACACTGGTGGCCCTCTGGAGGCACAAGAGCAGCCGTTAGCTTTGCAGGCTCTTGGTGACCAGTACAGGGCTGGCACCAATGATTTTCTTTTAATGAATGAATGCACTGAGAGGTGGAGGAAGAGGTTTCCCTGGGGGCCCTGGGTAGGGAGGGTCCTGTTTGCCTTTTTTCAGGGTGGGGAGGGGGAAAACCTGGACCATAGTCTCTAGCCTAGACCTGGCCTTGTGGGAACTGACCAGGACTAGCGGGTATGCTGGGGACTGCTCAGGGACCCGTGCAGGTGAGTTGGCTCTGCCTTCAGGTTGGGCCCCCTTCCTGGGGCCATCTCCCGTGTTTTCTCCCCACCCCTTCGTTCCAGGGACTCAGACCCACCTGGATGTGCTCAGGTGCAAGGTGGCTCTGCCTGTTGGGAGGAGGCTCCAGCTTCTGAGAGGGGGACAGGGCAGTCCTGGGGGAACAGAATGAGGCTCACATGGGGGTCTGCCCCAGTCAGGCCACCTGACAGTTACTGGTCCCTGAGCCCCACCCACAGCGATGGCCCCCAGGGCTCTGCTCCCAGGCTTGGGATGTGGTTACTCCACACAGTGGGGGAGAGGCTGAGAGTGGCCCTCCTATCTTCCCAGTGTCTCTGCCCCCAGCCCAGCCCAACCCAGCCTGTCCCTCCCTCCAGCCTGGGTACTACGGGAACCATGTGAGTCTCTGGGGTCCTAGCTTGGAGGACAGTGGATACATAGGGGCCAGGACCAGGGTGTGTGGAGGGAGGCTTCAGGGCCAAAGCTTATGGGGACACCAAAAGTCTCGGTCATCAAGATAAATAATATTTTAATGTAATATTTTAAAAATTAAAATTAATGCAAAAATCCATGATGAACAAAATATCAACATTTTAAGTAAAGACAGGATTGGTAATAGTGCCGTGCTGTGCCATACTGGAGCCTGAGGCAAAAGGAAAAATCAGTAATACTAATCCTGCCTATATTTAAAATGTTGATATTTTGTTCATCATGGATTTTTTGCATTAATTTTGATTTTTAAAAATATTCCATTAAAATATTATTTATCACGCTGACGGAGGTTTTTGGTGTCCAATTAAACTTTGTGCCGGAGGCGAGTGCCCCACCCCCCTCACCCTGGGCTTGTCCATGGCTGGGAGAAGGTCAACTTGTGTAATGTATTGAACCTCTCTGTGCCTCAGTTTCCTCATCTGTAAACCGTGGATTATAATGCACACCTACTTCTCTGAGTGGCTGAGAGGATAAAATGTGTCCTTATAACTCAGTGTAAACACTTGGGCGGTGCCTGGCACAATGTAAGTACTCTGAAGGGTTAGCTCTTCCTGCAAAAGGGACAGTGCCCCTTGGGCCTCACAGGTGGCAGGGGGAGGGAGTGAGATCTGGGGGAGTGGGGAAGCTCTGAGCCTTTTATGAGTTCAGGTATTTCAGCAGGGACCTGTGGGGGTGGGAGTTTGGGTGGGCGGACGAATGGACTTGCCAACACTCACCTGCCACTGTCCATCGCCAGCCAGCTCTTCCGCTGCCGGTGATACAGAAAGAAGACTGCAAGAGCCACACCAAGGATGAGGACCAGGGCCACGATGCCCCCAAGGAACCTGGCAGCACTTCCTAGGCCCCCCTGGGGGAGGGGCTTTTCTGGAACCAAGAGAGGAAGGCAGAGAATGAGAGAGAGGGAGAGAGAGGGAACTCAGAGAGGTGGGCAAAAAGTAAGAGAATCAGACCCTGAGGTGTGCCCTGCCCTAACCCTCCTGCCCCTCTCTGCAGCTCCTCTCCCCCATCCTGCTCTGGTTCTGGGAGGGGCTGTCCCAGTTAGGGGGGAACAGAGCTCATACTCTGGCTCCCGGGGCCCTGTAACCCCAGACTCGGCTCTGATCTTGGGATCTGGGGCATGGAGGTGGAGGTGGGGGATGGGGAACACAGGGTAGGCAGAGGGGTGCTCAGAGATGGGGGTCCCCACCCTCTCATTCCATCTCTGGCCCTGCAGGGAAGATTCCTGTTGAGGAGTTTAATTTCCTTCCCCTCCCTACCCAATTAAACAAGCAGATGAACTAATTGGTGCTTTGCCCTCCCAAGTCTGGAGAGAGCACGGATCTGGAGAGGGGAAGACGGGGACTGTGAGATTGGATGGGGATCCTCGGGGAAACCAAGTCTGTCCAGGACTTGGACAGACTGAAAAACTCAGAGGGCCGCGGTCTAACCCACCCTCTCGTGGACCTGCCTGGCCATTGCCTCAAGAACCTTAGCCCTGTGGGTGATGTGGGGCTGGGGGCGGGGGCAGCCCCTCTCAACTTGCTTTGTGGTCCAGGGGCAAGTCACTTAATCTCTTTGGGCCTTGGAAAGAAAAGGGCCGGGGCGGTTTGTAAGGGTTTGTTGAACAGTTTCTCAATCTGAGCCTCTGAGCTGGAGCCTGAAGACAAGAACACCACGAGGCTGCTGGAACTGGGCCTGTGACCAGGGGGCATGTGCTGCTCTCTGGCCGGCTCTGCTGGCCAGGCCTGTTCCTCCGCTCCCTCTCCCAGGGTCCATTTCTCACCTCTGACCTTTACCACACCCAGGGAGGAAGGGACTGGGGAGAAAATCATATATGCTCCCTTCCCTTCGTCCTCCCCACACCATATTATATATAATTAAATACAGAGAGCACCTGAATAGAGATGCTAAATTGCAGTTTGCAATAAACATTATGGAGCCAATTTTCCTAAAGCAGCTTTGACAAGCACCTGCCTCTCTCCCTCTGCTCCATCCCAGGGCCCTGGAGGGGAGGGTGTCTGGCAGAGACCTCAGTACCAGCCCGGCTCCCAGTGAATCCGCAGCCCTTAAGGACTCCCTGCAAAGGCTCTGGCCCCAGCATCCATCCATCCACAGCTAGTGGGCTGTGGCCCCATCGGGAGGGCAATGTCTGCGTGTGTGTATCATAGGGACTCAGGAACCCCAGACTCCTCCTCCGACCCTTGACCCTCCGCCACCACCGTCTCTCCTCTCCTTTCCAGACCTCTTGGGCTGGGATACCGCAATCAGTTAAACAAACCTTGCCCCCTTTTCTCTAAACCTTACATCTTAGCACCCACCAGAGCCCCCGTCCCAGTCTCTTCTTTGTCCTCAAGCCTTTCTGCTCCTGCTCCTTCTCCTGCTCCTCCTTTGGCTTGGCCCGCACTGACCTAGCATCCACTGTGCTCCAGGCACTGTTGTGTCTTTGGGCAACAGAGGTGCATAAGGCACAGCCCTGCCTCTGAGCTCCACTGTTTCCCATTCGTCCCACTTCTGCCTCCTGGACAGCTCTCCTCCCCATCTCCAGGGCCACCATCCCGGTCCAAGCCACCAGCATCACCTGAGCTGCTGCAACAGCCTAACCAGCCTCCCTGTCCCCAGTCTTGTCCCTTCCAAGCTGTTTCCCACCCTTGAGCCTGTTTGATCTTTCTAAAAACAAATCTGATCAGGCCACATCCCTGCTTAAAGTCTTCCAAGAGAGCCTCATGGCCCTCAGTGAAGTGTCTGAGCTCTGAGGCTTTGAGGTCCTTCACGACCTGGGTCCTGCTCATTCTGGAGAAACGACTCCATGCTTCCCACTGCCCGCCATGTGCAGCCACCCGGACTACTTGCAGCTCCCGACAGCAAGTCCCTGCTCCCTCTTATCCTCGTGTCTCAGTAGGAGCTGCTCCCTCTACCACGGTCTTTGTTTCCTACACCCTCTTTGCCAGGCCAACCTATCCTCCAGGTTTAAGCTGGACACACCTCCTCTAGGGAGCCCTCCCTGCCTCCTCCACCGGAATGGGCGTCCTCCTCTTTTAAAGTGACTGTGAAGAGGGCCAGCCCCATGGCTTAGCGGTTAAGTGCGCGCGCTCTGCTACTGGCGGCCCGGGTTCGGATCCCGGGCACGCACCAATGCACCGCTTCTCCGGCCATGGTGAGGCCGCGTCCCACATACAGCAACTAGAAGGATGTGCAACTATGACATACAACTATCTACTGGGGCTTTGGGGAAAAAAAAAAGGAGGAGGATTGGCAAATAGATGTTAGAGCCCGTCTGCCTCAGCAAAAAGAGGAGGATTAGCATGGATGTTAGCTCGGGGCTGATCTTCCTCACCAAAAAAAAAAAAAAAAAAAGTGACTGTGAGGGGCCGGCCCAGTGGCACAAGGAGTTAAGTGCGCGCTCCGCTGCGGCGGCCCGGGGTTCGCCGGTTTGGATCCCAGGCGTGCACCGATGCACCGCTTGGCAAGCAATGCTGTGGCGGCGTCCCATATAAAGTGGAGGAAGATGGGCACAGATGTTAGCCCAGGGCCAGTCTTCCTCAGCAAAAAAAGAGGAGGATTGGCAGATGTTAGCACAGGGCTGATCTCCTCACCAAAAAAAATAAAATAAAGTGATTGTGAGCGCACGCCTGGCTCATTTGTCTGTCTCCCTGGTCCTCGGCACAGCACCTAGTATGCAGGAAGTCCTCAGTAGGTATTGATGAATCAAGGAGTGCTTGGCTGAATGAGTGTACGGAGGGCGGTTCTGGAGCCCACCTCTCCTCTGGAATCTCACCTTCCACCAGGGGGTGCTGAGTCCCGGGCACCTCTGTGCTGGACCTGGGAATTCTGTTTCCTGGACACAACCCAAACCTATATCCCCGCTTCCTCTCGGCACAGCTGAGGCAGGCTGGTGTTGCCAAAGGGCTGGCGCGAGGGAGCAGTAGGGAAAGAACAAAGAAGCACGAGCACATACACCCGAGCTGGCTCATGGGGTTCAGGTTTCTCTCCTGCCAGGGCCAGCTCAGCTCTGGGGGCCAGCCCCACACAGGCGGGAGGGAGAGATGGTTTCATGTCAGCCCTGCCTCGGCTCCCTGTTTCCAGGCGACCTCTCTCAGGGGCTCTCACCCATCACCCTCAGGGACTCTGGGGCCGCTTCATCAAGAGAGGGAGATGGCTGTCCTTATCAGGGGCTTCACATCATGCTTACAGTGCAGACAATAGCATCTGACTGGATAATGAGACTGTGAATGCACTAACGTGGGCATCAGGGATGTGGAGGGCCAAATAGGGTGGGATCTGCTAGCAGGCCCTCCAAGGTGCCAGGGCTGGAGTGGATAACTCTGATTTTGTTCTCTCCAAATTGCCCTCTCTCCATGTCCCACCCTCCTACAGTACAAATGCAAGTTCCCTTGGAGTCCCTGATCCACTTGGAGGGCCCCAGCCCGGTGGAAGAAATACTAGTGGAGGGAAAATGAGAAATGGGGATGAGAAAAGGGAAAGACAAGGAGGGGAACTCGGCCTGAGTCTATGGCATGCCAGGCACTAGCCAGGCGCCTTGGCTGATTTTGGGGTCACATCAAGCCTGCAAAGTTAGACCACGTTACTCCCGATGAGCAAAATGAGGCTCAGAGAGGTTAAGTAATTTGCCCAAGGTCACCCAGCTAGTCAGTGGCAGAGCAGGCACTGGAACCTGCACCTGGGTGGCGTTCCTTGATCAGGCTTTGGGGTCTTCTTCGTGGTCCTGGTCCCTCACACGGCATGGAGCTTCTGCCCCCCTACCCTTACTGGACACATCCCTACCTACCTCCTCGCCCATGGTTGCTTTGTCTCCGAGCCTCGCCTTGACAGATGTGAGGAGGGGGCCTGGCGCTGGCCCCAGCTGGAGCCCTGGCATCAAGCCCCCAGACGCTCTCTGGTTACACCGGGACGAATCTGTACCCCCAGCCCCAGCTCCACAGGCTTTAGGGCAGGACCTGTCACCTGCAGGCAGCCGGCCGGCCAGGGCTGGAGCATGGGGCCCAGGAGAGCTGGGTTGGTGTGTGAGGGAGTGAAGGGAGAGGCCTCCAGAGAGCACCTCCTGTGAGCCAGGCTGGTCGTGTTGGCTTTGAGAAGGCTCAGAGAGGTAATGTCAGTTGTCCGGAGTCCCACAGCCAGGAACACCACAGCTGAAATTGGATCCAGATCGACTTCTGAGGTCTCTCTTTTTCCTACTGTGTTAGCAGGGCCTGGTCTCCCTGCAGCCCAGGAGCTCCCCTTTCCAGGCAGAGCCTACGTCTATCCTGGCTCGGGCCCCAAGGATGGCCTCTGACCAACTCCACCTGTCTCTGGGGTCCCACCAGTGACACCCCCTAATCCTCAGTGCTCTCAAGTGTCACACCTGTCACATGGTGATAGCACATAGGTTTTCCCGTCCCTCAGACTGAGAAAGAGAAATCCTGGCTAGGAGGTAACACAGACTTGGGCCCCAGTCTGGGGGGCACTGCAGGCCAGCGACAGTCAAGGGCTTCTTGGCTCCTCCTGGAACCAGACCTGCCTGACACACTGAGGCCCCGCGGTGGGGAGTGTGGGGAGCTTTGGATCCCACCCCCATATCCAACAATCACAGTCTGCTTCTCCCTCCCACCCAACTCTCAGTTGGACATCGGGGGTCCTGAAGCCCGGCCTTCGCTCGGTGGCAGAAAGCGAACACAGACATATTCCTTCATGGTGTGCTCACTTGCCCTCGCTGCTGCCCCTCCTTCAGTCCAGTAAACATGTCCCGAGTATCTTTATGTGCCAGATGCTGGGGGTCATGCCCCCTGGCTAATGGGGGAGTCAGACATGTACACAAATCAGCTCCTTATTTTGTGATCCATGCCTCAAGAGAAATCTGTCCAAGGCCCAGGATGGTATAGAGAAGAGAG